TCTCTCTCTCTCTCTCTCTCCGTCTCTGATCCTCCCCTCATCTCTCCACCTCTGTTTCCCGGCTATCCCCGTCTAGGTCGTGGCGTCACATTTAGACCACGCCCACCCAAAGCTGCAGCATCAGCACCAGTGTGTATTACTGTAAAGGCAAGAGAATTGCGCCATCTATCTATCTATCTATCTATCTATCTATCTATCTATCTGTCTGTCTGTTTGTCTATCTATATGTCTGTCTGTCTATCCATTCATCCAAATGATACCTGGCCAGGTTCAAGGTCTCTCACAGGGTGCTGAAGGCTTTCTACACTGGGGCTGTGGAGAGTCTTCTCACCGGGAGCATCACCACCTGGTTCGGAGGCACCATGGCCAAGGACCAAAAGGTGCTGTCCAGAGTACTGAGGCCAGCGGAGAAGACCATCAGGACTTCTCTCCCCTGCATCACATACATCTACAACCAGCGATGCAAGACCAGGGCCAGGAGGATTGTAAAAGACTTTCACCAGCGCTCCTATCAGGGAAACGCTACCGGATCCTGAGGACCAACACAGAGAGACTCAGGAGGAGCTTCTACCCTCAGGCAATCTGGCTACTGAATGATGACACTTGAGAAGTCTGTGTATTTCTACCTCACACACAGACACACATACACAAACAGTTTGCACTATGAAAAAACAATTTTTTGCACACTACATAGTAACTCTATACACTGTACAGCTCTGTATATTTGCTGTTTTTTAACATGTTCTATTTATATATATTCATATTCTATACAATACATTCCTCTATAGGCTGCTAATTTTTCTTAATCATATAGTCTACTAGATTTTATTATATTCTGTGTTTATTATGTATGTGTATATCTGGTTCATTGTTGTTCTGTTCATTGTTGCACCATCATTTCACCACATTAAATCACATATATATTACATACATGTGACAAATAAAGAACCTTGAACCTCCTCCAGAGTGTTCTTGAATTGGCTAGATGTTGTGAAGGGGTTTTTCTTCACCAAGGAAAGAATTCTGCGATCATCCACTTTAGATGTCTTCCGTGGTCTTCCAGGCCTTTTTTCGTGTAGCTGAGTTCGCCAGTGCATTCTTTCTTTTTAAGAATGTAGAAAATTGTTGATTTGGCCAATCCTAAAGTTTCTCTGATAGGTTGTTTCTTCAGCCTAATGATGGCCTCCTTCACTTCAGAAGGAGTCGACAATCTCTGCAGAGTTCCCATGAACAGCTACGAAATAAAAATTCAACGCTTGGAATCAACTCCAGACCTTTTATCTCCACAATCCGTCATGAAATAATGAGGAAACAAGGGACACCCGGCCAAGAAACTGCTTATTATTCAACTGTCCAATTACTTTTGAGCGTGTGAAAATGGAGGGACTCTAAAAAAAATGGCTGTAATTCCTAAACAGTTAATGCAATATTTTTGTTAAACCCATTGAATTAAAGCTGAAAGTCTACACTTCAGTCACATCTTGATTGTTTCATTTCAAATCCACTGTGGTGGTATACAGAGGCAAAATTATGGAAATTATGTCACTGTCCAAATATTTATGGACCTGACTCTATCTTTCTCTTCACCCTATCTGTTCATCCATCCATTTATTTCAGATATACCTTCGTTAAGCTGTTATAGTGTTTGAAAGTAAATTTATATTCAAGTTCCCAGCTTCAGTATAAACTTGCAGTTGTTTCTGCAGCATGTTCTGTGTTTGCTCACTGCTATTACTAACCTTATTAAATGTCAAATGAGTAGCCATGACATCATAAGATTAAAATCTTATGACTTCATTAACACAAACAGGAAGTGCACATTGCTATACTGCAGAAAAAAATCATTTCCAGTATAAACTCTGTGTGACCCTGCTGCTTATGTTTATTTAAACTATAAAACCTCATTCATTTGTGATTATTTAAAACACATATAAAAGTACACACAAACACACAGTCAATACTTCCAAAAGTATTGGAACAGCAGGGCCAATTCTTTATTTTTTGCTATAAGCTGATTGAACACATTTGTGTTTCAGATCAAAAGATATATAAGACAATAGATCAGAATTTCAGTTTTCATTTCCTGATATTTACGTGTAGATGTGTTACACAACTTAGA